TCCCCTCATTCTTGGTTAAATAACTGGACATGGAGGGTCTGAATTAAATAGTACATGTATAGTTAACCTTTGAAGATCATTTTAGCTACCTTTAAAGGGAACCTTTATTTATACTGTGACTTATGGCACTCATTTTTTGGTTATTCAGTCAGGTAAATTTTAAGTGATGCATAATATTTGTGCTTATTTATGAGTACACTATGATAATTCGATGCATATATGAAATGTCTAATGATCAAATTGGGGTAACTACCACTTCCACCTCCTCAAACGTGTTTCATTTATGTGTGTTGGATACCTTTGGATTCTTCTAGAAAGCAAATTTTAGTTTTAGAAAACAAGTGTAATTTTAGAGTAATTTTTGACTTTTAGAACCTTGAAAACTATTATAAAATGTTTCTGTATGCTGCACACCTAACTTTTTTTGTACTAGGCATCAAACTCAGGACCTTGCACTTGGCAAGCCTAATTTTTTTTCTTTAGTTTAAAAGGAAAAACATAATAGATAAGACTTTAGAAATGATACATAATTTTTTAAAAGCTGATAAGTATTCACCAGTGGTTATCATACTGCACATTATTCTCTTCAAAGCAGTTGCTTAGATTACCAGCTATAAGTATGTTAAATTGGTCAAAATAAAAATTTTAAACATTAACTTCTCCTTTCAAAAAACCAATAGTATTTAGTAGTACAATTAATTTTTCATTATTAATATTTTAAATTGCTATGGTACACTTGTTATAAGCAGTGAAGTAGCTTGAATCATTATTACTAAAGTAAGTTTTAAAATGATTTCCTTAGTTTTATCCTACTATCCTTTTTTTCCTGATATTATATAACATTTTAAAGCATATATCTTACTATACTCCAAACTGGTTTTACCGTTTTTGGGATAAAGCACTACTTGCTGCCACTTTCTCACAGTAAGTAGTTTAAACGAGGAAGACAAAACATGTAAACATTGAATAACTAAGCCCAGAATAAGTGACTATACTAGGTGCCAAGTGAGTCAACCAGCTAGTAAATGTAATAAAAGTCAAACTTTCAAGATTTGAAAAATTCAGCTGTTTATTTTTGTGTGACATCTTCTTTTTCCACTCTCCTCAACACCCCATTCTCTGTGAGAAAAATATAGTACATAACATAACTGCAGTGGAAGAAAGTTACAGAACATTTATTATGAAAATTTTACAAAATCCACTACCTAACTAGAGACATCTTCAAAAAGTGGAAAGAAGCAGGGATTCCCAGCCAATGCAAACACATAGTCAGCCATTACATAATATTAATTCTGTGATCTTTAATTTCTTTGAGAGCTTGTGGGGGTTCCAACATTCCTTCACTCTATAATCATTTATGCTACATGGGAGTTAATTAGTACTAGACCTTGTTTTCCATCTTTCAAAGCCAATGTCCTTGAAACAAGCATGTAAGAATTTTATACAGTATT